TGCACTGAGATCCATCACCCGAATTAGGAACCCCCGTAATCCCCTCTTTAACCCTAGCAATGATCTGCTATACCAACTTACCGATATACCCCCTATCCATACCCGTCTTCAATCTTTGTCCGATAAATCCATTCTAAATTTTCCTACCAACGCACAGAAGCGAATTAGTTAAAAATCTTGGCCAAAAAGATATTTTTGTCAATTTTTTACTTCAAAATTGTCGGAAATTAAAAAATATCTATACAATTAACAAGGATGAAGTATTTTATGATATACTGCGATTTTATTTAATTGTATCTACCTATATTTTTATACAGGGTGATTCAAAAAGCCGCTGACAGACTTCTAGAGTGGATAATATATGAAAAATTAAGATGAAAAGTCTTAATATACATGGGGTCGCAAATGCCTCCTTAACGAGATATAGCGGGTCAAAGTTTCTTTAAAATTAAACATTATCTGTAATAAAAAGCCCTTTTTTTAAAATATTTTCAACACCACTGCTAATTTTGCCAACGGGCAGTATTTTCATGTAAAGTGATCAATTATCTATCAATTGGTCTCTTACAAAACTTTGATTAAAGTTACAGTTTTTGATTCGATTAACAAATTTTCTACAAACGTGTTTTTCTTAAAAACTATTGCTTTGATCAAAGTTTGTAAGAGACCAATTGATAGATAATTGATCACCGTTTGACAGAATTAGCAATGGCGTAGACAATATTTCTAAAAGAAAGGGTTTTTATTGCAGATATAATGTTTAATTTTAAAGAAACTTTGACCCGCTATATCTCATTAAGGAAGCATTTGCGATCCCATGTATATTAAGACTTTTCATCTTAATTTTTGATGTATTACCTGCCTTAGAAGTTTGTCAGCGGTTTTTTGAATGAGCCTGTATATAGAATGGTCCGTTACTACTGGGACACAGAGGAACAGTGAATTCCTTACATTAAATTGTTACGATTTAACCCAATTTATGTTAGTCCAATTGTTAATAATAACGAAAATACAGATGATTAAAGTTAACACTTTATTTTCGCTTTTGCTTAAATTATGAACATGAAAATTGTACATTATCATTTTTTGAGACGATAAATAATAATTTGGTATAAGTTTTGAATTATGGCACTGCCTGCCTTAAAAAACTCCTTTAAAGTAGACATATCCTTTTAATCGTTAAAATTTTTGCAACTCACACAACTTGAAACAGTTTCTGAGACATTTTTACATATATTTGGTATACCTACCAACCTTCTCTAAAGTTCTCCGTTTCCAAGATAATCACTGTTTAAAGGCACTTTGCAAAATTTAATTATGCTCAGTAAACATTAGTTGGCGTTGAAAATGATTTTATTTCGTCAAACACTAGACTAACATCGTCAATTGGCATTAATACTAGAGTATTAATGCTAATTAATTAAAAAAATTTATTAATGCTAAGAGTAAAATTATTAAAGAAAAATGAAAATAAAGTATAAACTTTACCCATCTGTATCTTCATTATTATTTACAAGTGGGCTAAGATAAATTGGGTTAAATCGTAATAATTTAATGTAAGGAATTTACTGTTGCTCTGTGTCCCATTAGTAACGGACCAGCCTGTATAAGACGTATGATTAATAATTTTCAAGGAAAAAATCTTGTAAATAATAAATTGAATTATAAAGATACACACACTATAATAAAAATTTATTTTAAGGTAAAACCGTAAAATACCGCAAGAATTTCTAGTAAAATCTACAATAGTAGGCCTTATACTACAACACGTATACAATATTACTTTTGAACAATGTTAAACAATTTATTTTTTGCCCATCTAAATATCGTAAAATAAATTATTTTCTCAATTTCAACATATGATGTAATCAAACAATATTACAAAAATACTAATAACCGAATTGTTGCTTTCAATATATTACACAATTCTACTTACCACCAGCAATAGGTTCTATGATAAATTTTCGAAATATATAAAAAAAAGTGTAAAGGAAAAATTAATTAAGAACCACAATTTTTACCGACATTTTACCTAGGTGATAACTGTTTACTAAACAATCAATTGACAACTAAAATATTTTGGCGGCGATTGTTACAATAATAATAAATAAGGTGTTTCAAGGCACCTTGGGGTTTATTTAATCAAAGAGCATTAATTGCATTTTCAATCTTATTCCTTAAATTTTTCCAATTTTGGCCGAGATTTTTAAAAAATTCGCCTGTGTGCAACGCCTTGCAACACACGCTTATATCGCCTCGATTACGCCACCCTCGCACCTCTTCTCTTCCAAAAACTCCTGGCCGTCAGAGAAGACTGAAACAAGCCGCCGACTACAAAAATCACGGGCAGAAAGACCTTGGTCGGTAGCCCTATTATTCTCACCCCTTAACTTTTTCATTTTTGTTGTATACACATATAGATATTTTTATTGTTATTCTTATTTTTTTTATGTAGTGGGTACAGAATAAAATTTGTTTTTCTTCTTCTTCTTGTCGACCATTTCAAAAGTTTATTTCTCAACTAAAAGTGATTTTTCAAAGCAGCTTTTTGCATTAAAAAGAGAATACTTTTATTAATAATTGGTGATATTTCCACAAGGATCCTTCAAGAAATTAATTTTATAGCGAATTTTGCAAGTTATCGATGAAAATTGCAACGTCGAAAATTTTATCAAAACTTCAATATATGTCTATTAAAAGTGTTAATTCTAGCTATTAAAACTAACACTATCACTAGAACTATCAGTAGACCTAGAATAGATGTAGTTCTAGTTTTAGTTGAATTAAATTGAATAACATTCTTATAAAGAACTAGTTAAATTTAAACCGTTATTTTTTTCTAAAGAGATCGTTTACTACTGAAAATATGGTAATAAACAAATTAATGTTTACTAAACACATAGTCACAGACTTGAAATAAGATAAAATTTGCTCAGAATAAAATTGGCATTTGTTCGTCTGTGTTATCTAAAAGATAAGATAAAAAACATTTTCATTTTCTATTTTCCTCATAAATACGAATTTATGTATCTACATTAATAATTTTTGATTCAAATGTGAAAAGAAAAGCTTTAATAAGCACTACATTTTTTTTATTTTATTATTATTTTTATTTTATTGAGCCATAAAACTTCAATCAAACCGCAAACTTTTAGCCAAATCATTTAAATGATTATCTATCAATTTTATATAGGATTTTTACAATATCAACCGAAAGTCATAAAATTTAATATAAACACGTTTTTACGTTATCAAGGTTTTCACGATATCAACCAGAAACCATTTATTTTATTTGTAATAAAAAAATTACCAACATATTATTTTTGAATTTTGGGCAAGCATTAAAAATAAATTATTAATTAATCTTTGATTTCGGACAACCTTCAATGGACGTTACTCAGAAATAGTGACGTAATCATATTAAATTTACCATTAACAGTTATATCCTTATTACTTCACGGTCGTATTCGGATTACTTTGCCATCGAACATTAAAAAAATAATAGGATAAAAGAATACGTTTTCGAAGTGAATGTGTCTGGAGGTTAAGGTGCGATTATATCGATATAAAATGATTCATACAAGTATTTTAAACGCATTAATCGTTACGTGTACAAAGCATGTGTAGGTGTTTTTTTTTATTTCAAACAAATCTTTCTCACAATCAGAAAATCTCATAAAATAAATTATACGAAAAATGATGTATACTGATTATAGCTATTTATAATAAAAAATACGAAATCTTTTCAATAACTAAAATCAATAAATATATTACGAAACATTTTGATAAGAATTATAAAAATCAAAAGAACCCGGAATATCGAATTAACAAATCAAAAGTTTTCTACTTTAAATGTTTCCCTATTTTAAAATTTATTGTAGTTTTTGTGTAGCAGAAGAATCTATCTCTATAGCAAAGACAAATCAAATATCTTTTGAGATACAGTGTTGCAGTAACAGCACGACGATACATAGCAGAGATCTTAGAAGAGCATGAGATGCCTTATGCAAGATTTGTTTCTGTCAATGCACGACCAAACGGCAAGGAAAAAGTGAGACTAATACAAGTGAGAAACTGGAAAAGGAGGAAACCAACAAAGGTTGTAGTGCCATAGAAGAGCCCTTAAAGAAGTTGATATTCCAAAAATGAATTTGGATATTAAACTTATTAAGTAGATTTCGGACCATACAACACGAGAAGATCGCCGATTGTCCCTTATTGAGGAATAGAGCAATGTTCACTAAGTAGGCATACAAAACGTGGTGATCTTATGCAAAATCGAATCATCCAGAATGGAGGTGGTAAAGTATATTCAGTGTATTTGCAAACAATTCTTTTAATCATTATATCAATCATTGGAATGAGCAAGAAAGAATGTTAGGTGTTTTGAATCATTGAATAGCAACATTATCAAGCGATTAAGAATAATTAAAACAATGCCTTTAAGTTAAGAAACTTAATAAAAATGTGTAATCACTTTTAAGAATTTAAAAAATGCCATACAATTAATTATGTAAAATAATGTTTAAAATGATCTAAAAACGCGTTCGAAACTGAAATTATTATTGATTTTTTTGTATTAGAAAGTCTTTTCGTACTTTCATTCTTAATCATTCCTCAGAATAGTTTCGACGTTATGATTTCATAACAATGTAATTATGATTAAAACTTTTTGCTTTCATTAATATTAAGAACAAGCGTTGCAAAATTTAAAATTTACAAAAATAATTAAGCACCAAATAACTGCCTAATCCATTGGTATCAGCGATTTTAGTGCCAAGGATAAAGCGGTAATAAAATTCTCCAAGTAGGCTGGTCGAATATTGATGACCTACAACAACCATGTGACCAAACAAAAACACGCGCGTGCATTTCAACAATAATCCGCAGGATGAAATTAAAAATTATTGAGTCCTCAATTACCTTTCACCCATTTTCGTGTAATCTCGTAAGGAAAGCAATTTCCCAGCGCTATGTAATTTGACAAAAACTTAACTTACATTGGCGGATTAACCAGATTGAAGAGTTCCACTGGCGATGTTGGAATTTTTCTAACCGTCATTTTCTTGCCATCTGTAGATCCCATTCCGATGGATGTATAGGATTTGAGTGATACGGCATCATATGGTTTCGTTATTAAACTTTGACTATCGCTTCCAGTTCTCGAAGGAAACTGATGATTGAGGAGTTGTTGATTTCCAGAAAAATCAGCAATACTGAGTTGCTGGCGTAAACCAGATGAAGGTGAGGATCGATTCGGAAGCATCTCCACGGGAATGTTAATTTTTAAATTATGATCTTTTTCACGCATGGCTTCCAAAAGAGCAGCAAGAAAAACTTGTCCTGAATGATCACTTAATCTATGATGACCACTAACATAACTTCCCTTGTTGTTATTCAAAAACGAAGTCTCCAGAGGAGATTTTCTAAGTGGTGGTGATTGCACTAGTTCTATGTCATTGCGATCAGAACGAACACGATTCGGGCTCCGTCCAGAGTTAAACTGGAGATCGTGGACGAGCAACTTCTGGTGTGGTATTCCTACGCTAACTGGCAACTTAGTCTCCTCCATTGCGTATGGACCGTTTGGACGATTGAAAAATTGCCGGCAATTTATCACTTGAATCCCGTCATGTTGTCATTTGGATATTCGAAATTTCGCGCGCGTTTAACCGCGTGATTCCAGCGGACGTGTCGAGCATCGCAGGACTGACTGAACTCAATGGTTTGCGTAAAATCGCTTCGTATGTCGCTCCCCTTCCCCATATTTAACGTACCGTTTTGCTGATTTATCAGCCCGATGATTATTGTATCCTCTTATCTGGAGAGATTCCTGCGAGATTATCTTCAATTATGTATTCCGTATTTATTAGATACACTTGGATTTTTTTACCACTCATTATTTTTTTTGTAATGACACCAACTTCTTATCATTACGATTTATCACTACAAGCGATTAGCGAATAAAAGTAAGTAGTTTTAGTTATTTTTCTGGTTATTTTTTAAGTGAAATTATTATATTTTATTTTGTAACAGTTTTATCGTCACAACTTGAAATGTAGGTTATAAACTCACATAAGTTCATTAGAATGTTTATGTGAGTGTTATTGTAGATAAATTTTATAAATAAAAATAAGTATGTATTAAATAATTTTTTTCCAAGCTAAATGGTACAAGTGACATCTATTAATAAAGTTTTAAAATCGAGTATTTATAATATACAGAAATCTGTATTTAAATAATATATGTTTTACAACATAGTTGTTATTTATTTACAGTAATGGGCGCTGGGTAAATACCCGGCTGATAGGTATTGTGGTGTTTTACTTGTGAGTTTTTACACAACTTATTAAACTATAAATTTGGGTTTCTTTAATTTTAAGAGACTCTTATTAAACTCAGGGTTTCGGGCAAGTTCAGGTTCAAAAACTCAAAATTATAGGAAACTCTTGTGAGTTGTTTTTTGAGTTTGATTTTTCTTTTTGTAGGTTATGTTAAATAAGAAAATAAAATTATCATCCGACTCACTGCGAAAAAGGAAGGATTGGAGTTCAATGTGGTATCTGGATTATGGATTGTCTCTTGTGTTCGGGGCACTAACTAATTTTCTGAATTGTCTACAGGATTCTTCTTACGGGAAATTGAACTGCTTGTTCTTCGGAAATAGGGTCTTGGATGATCTCGAAGAAGTATCAGTAGTTCTCGGAATAGGTTGTAGGACGATTCTCTTTTTATTTTAATATCGTAAGTTGATTTGACTTTAAAAAATTATCTTAAATTTTTGAGGTTATCTCTTGAGATTCATAATTTCTTCTATCTGACGACGTGGATTCGACGCTGGTCGGACGACGACTCTCTCGCTCCCTGCTCGCGATCTCCTTATATACCCCCGCACTCCAACTGTTTTTTCCTCGTTTCTGATTGGCTCTTAGCTTCGCGCCCTTTTCAAAATTCAAAATTCTTGCTTCGAAACTAGCGTCATCTCTTGATTTTTCTCGGAATTAACCTTCAAAATTAAATTCTTTTTTCCTTGATTTCTCCCTTATTCCTTTATGAAACGTAATAAAACTTCGTATTCAACGTTGTCTTTTCTTGTTTTCAGACATACATTGGAGTACACGCCAAATTTCAACAATGAGTAAAGTTAGAAAAATTCAAATTCAAATCAAGGATTTCTTCCTCAAATTAACGTTAAAACCTCAAAAGATGGATGAAAAATGTGCTTTAGGAGCTGAACTATAATAATTGATACTTTTGGAAGCAAACAAAACGGTTTAAGATAAGATTTTCACCAACAAAAAATCTCTCTGTCACAATTTCTAGGTTATGTTCTCTCGGTGAACTAAGAGAATGTTAAAATTATCACAGTATTTATAAAAGGGGTATTTATCTGGGTATTTACCCCGATTCAGGGTAAATACCCAAACAGTACACATAAAAGTGATACAAGTAAAAATATAACAGATTCGGACAAAAATGTAGAGGAACATGATGAAGTGAGCGTTGAAGACGAGGAATTGTCAACGATCGAAGACGTATTATTATCAGGTAACCACTTGAGCTTTGCCACAATGTTGACCGCATCATTTACGCCAGTTCTTCGTAGGTCTTCATTTCGTATGTGGTCCCTCAGGGTTACACCCAGCATCGACCTTTCCATCTTTCTTTGCGTTACTTTGAGCCTCCTGGTAATGGCCACCGTTAATGTTAAAGTTGCGGAACCGTATGTCATAACCAAAGGAAGCACGCATTGATTGAAAACCTTTCTTTTCAAATATACAGGAATATCGCTCATGAAGATGTCTCTAAGTTTCCTGTAGGCTGCCCATGCGAGTATCATCCTTCTATTTAGTTCGCTTGTTTGATTATTATCTTTCGATACACGAACCTCATGGCCAAGATATATGGCTGCGATGCGAACCAACAGAGATGAGTACTTTAAGAACAATAGTGGAAAAGACAAGAAGAGATAGAGTAAGGAACAAAATTGTAAAAGAATTGTGTGGACTCGGAGATCTCATGAGATTTGCTAGGGGAAAAATAAAAAAAATTAATGAGTACTTCCAAAGAATGGAAGAAACCTGGCTGATTAAGACAGCAAGAGACCAAAGATTAGCTAGAAAGAGATCCCGGGACACCAGGAAGTTGGATTTCCAGCTCTAATGAATCACCATAAATGTTGCAACCTGAATAAAAGAAGAAGAATAATAATATTACTTAATTTTCAATTGGAAATCAACAATCTCATGGATCTTGGAATCTTGGATTTGATGGAAGTGCAATATGACTGGAAAAGAATCAAACAACAAGAATTAATGAAGCACAAAAACTGAATTTAGTCATTAATATTAGACTGATACTCAATTCAGGACATTCAAAGTTATTTTTCAAGCATTAAAGAAATCGTTAAATATTTTCGAAGAGTATTACGTAAAGGAAAATGGTCTGAAATTTGTTAGACAGTTAAGACAAAGGCACAAATCGCACGTAGCTCTATGCTGAGATGGAACAGGAAAAATAATATGTGATAGTGAAATGAATGACATTTGGAAAAATTATTTCCAAAACCTGTTAAGCATCAGAAACTGATTTGGAAATAGACAGCAGTCCATCACACCAAAGAAAGGATAGTGTCATGGAACCTATATCAATTAGTGAGGTTCAAAACGCAATCAATGCGTCAAAACATGGAAAGGCATCAGGGATTAATGACATACCATCGAAAGTATTCAAGATAGAAGTATTCATTATCACCAATATTGATGTTAGAGCTTGGAACAAGATTTGTCCTAAATTTTGTTGATATTTAGCCCGACTCAGTTGCATACTTCAGCATCAGTTTCATCTCTCCAAGACTATCCGAAATAAGGACTATATCGTCCGCGTAGCGCAAATTACTTAGGTATTGCCATCAATGTTTATACCTTTTTGGGTCCAATCCAGTTGTTTAAATGCACTCTCCAGAACTGTGATGAACAATTTGGGTTCAACATTATATTGCCTTGTCTTACCCCACGCCCAATGAGTATTCGGTCAGTACTTTCATGCAATTTTACCGTCATTGTAGCATTCTTGTAAATGTAATAAATAAGTTTGCTGTATCGATAATGGACTCTGCATTCTTGAAGTACTTACAAAACTGCCATCAACTCAATTTAAATCAAATTTTATAAATACCTCTAAATACCCATCTTAGATAAATACCTCCGGGTATATATTGTGATAATATGTGTATTCGTCTTTCGAAAATGAATAAAAATAATCAAAGTGATCTGAAATAATTGATTTTGATTCGTTCTGGATTACACACGAGGTAAGTGAGTTATTCTTTTAGAAATGGTATATCGAAAATAAAAAAAAAATCTTAACTTCTTTGGTTTTACAGATGTTGGTGGAATTGATTGAAATCTTGATTCCTCCCTGGTTTGAACTGCTCCTTTTTCCGCCTTGGTGGAATGTGCTGGTACCCCCTTGGTGGTTTTCCGGAAAAACTATTCCGATATCTTCTTTCCCAGGTTGGTTGTCGTACTCTTCTTAATTAATTTTAGCTTATTTTCTTCTCCCTCAATTGTAAATTTCTTTGGTTATGTTTTTTGGAATAATTAAAGAATACCTGTCCCACTTAAAAATCGATGATTTTTTTTTTAATCGGTAG